GCCATCCCAGGGTTCGGGAGGTAGAGCAGGGGAGCCAGGAGTCACAGGCCAGTCTTGGTTACAGAAGCAGTCCATCTCAAAAACAACATTTTGCTGTTCTTGACAATGGTGCTATGGATACCAAATACATCCTTGTTTTAGGAAAATAGAGCAAACCATTCAGGAACAAAGGGACGTCATGTCTGCAATGCACTCGTGGTTTAGGACATGACTGTCCACATGAGTATGTGTGTGTTCAGGTCCATGCTTGTGTGTGCACAGAGAAGACGCTTGCACTGAGCACATGAACAGAATGCTGGCTGGCAGGCTCTGTGAGGGGGGCACAGAAGTTCTTTATACTTTTCTTGAATCTTTGCTGTGAGTGTGGAATTTTTACATTTTTCTAAGTCTTTTCAGGAAAAAAGGAAGAAGCATGTAGAGGAGATGGGCTCAGAGAGACTGTAAGTTGGTGCTGGAGGGGGACATGGGAGACAGATGCTCGCTCATGGGAGGCTCTCCTGCTCCCTGGTGGCCACTGTGCTGTGTAGGAGACACTGCTGTCTTATTTGGCCTTGTTCTCTGGGCCATTCACTTTCTGGTCTTCAGTTTCTTTACCTGCAAGGCTGGGTTAACTCAGCAATCAGGAGGCAGAAGCAAGAAGATCCTGAGTTTGAGACCAGTTGGAGCTACACAATGAGACCCTGTCTCATGCTCTACCGACTGAGCTAGCCGGGCACATGAGACCCTGTCTCAAAAAAAAAAAAAAAAAAAGTCCTCTTTCAATGGGATTTGGTTTCCCGATGCAGCTGGTGCTCTCTGCCATCCAGGATGAAGGCAGCAGTGATGCTGACAGGAGCCTACCTGTTCTTCATCGAGCTACACAGATCCCAAGGCAGGGAGGAGGGTGCAAATGTAGGTCCCACTTTTCTGGCTAGACTCTCAGAGCCAAGGGCATGGGGCCATTGGATTCTCACTGGACTCTCAGCTGGCCTAGAGTCCTTTTCTTCCCAAAGGGATGGCCAGAACTGCTGCAGCACTGTGACCAGGGAACCCTCTGGTTGTCTCACAGCAGATCAGGGCATGCACCTGCCTCCCACACCTCTACATCCTCTTGTCTAGACAATAGCCTTAGCTTCCTTCCTGCTGACCCTCACCCTGACCCAGCTCCACAGGCTACCTGTGGGTCTGAGTATATGGGTGCCCCCATGGAAGCTCAGCTGGGTATTCTGTTGATAGTACAGGTTACAGTCTGCCAAGGGAGGCTAAGAAAGCAGCTGTGGTCCCCAGTTGAGCCACCTGAGTTGGAAGTAAGCCAGATCAAGGAGTCAGTCACCCTTATTCCACAGTCACACTCTACCAGGCTACACACACTCTACAACATCCCCATTCCCAGGCCAGAGACAGTGCTTCTTCCACAGCATCTCATGTGCCAAGGGAGGTCCAGTAGGCACCTGCCACCTGTCAGGACTCTGAAATAATCAAGCAGACTAAGCTGCCTCTCTAACCTAGAAGATGAACTGTCAGCACCCCCAGCCCCCCACCTAAGGCTCCCAGGCATGTACCTAGTCTTCTCTCCCAGCAAGCAAGGAGCTTCATTCTCTACTCCCCTGCGCCACACTTGAACACTCTAGAAACCACTCTCCAGAACTCCAGAACCAGTGCCCTGGGGACTATGGGCATGAGGAAAAGTCTCTAGGGCCCAGATAGGCAGGAAGGCAGAGATCAGACTCTCTCTCTCTCTCTCTCTCTCTCTCTCTCTCTCTCTCTCTCTCTCTCTCTCTCTCTCTGTGTGTGTGTGTGTGTGTGTGTGTGTGTGTGTGTGTGTGTGTGTATACCAATGGGCATGTTCCCTGAGCCGGTCCTTTTGTTAGTCATGGGCCATAAATATTCATGCCCAAGGCGGTTGAAGGCAGTTGGCTCCAGAAGGCACCTATCTGTCAGTAACAGAGGCTGATGTTCATGGGCCAGTTACCACATAGGGGGCAGGGGGAGGTCCAACTCTTTGTCCTCTCAACAAGGTAGATTTTTATTACTCCTATTTTATAAAAGAGGCCACCAACATGCGAAGATAAACGGCATTCCTAAAACTGTGGCTAGGCCTGCAATTTGAATCTAGGAAATGTGGATTTGGAGTTACTGCTCTTCACCCTGACTCTACATCGACTCCTCAAATAAGTGCTCAATAAACGTATGAGAAGCTGAATTACATGGGTACACTCAAGAGGTGGGGAACCCAAGGAGCAAAAGTGGGTGTTCTTTGTCCTGCTGACACTACCTGGCATGTCCTGTGTGCATGCCCTTTCCTAGTGTTTCCTTATGTCATGTGAGCATGAGTGGGAACAAGCATGCCTAGTCCCCGTGGCTCCTCTGCTTATAGAAAGGGGCCAGGAGTTGAGGCTGGATCACTTCACTCCAGGTCGCTACCGGTCATCCCTCCAGCAGCCTCTGGGTCTGGCCTTTCTGGCCCTGGGACCAAGGTCTTCTAGCTTGGATTGGGGGACACATAGTGTAGTGTGTGGGTTTCATTAGTCTCTGGCTCTGGGTGGGGGGATTTTCTATAACCCTCATCCTTCCTACCCCCAGGGTCAGGCAAGAGTGTCCCAAAGAAATGCTTCTTGGTGTTTCTGCTCAGACAGCATTTGCTGCAAAATATGTCAAAGCATTTGGGCTTTGGTTTTCAGCTTAGAGTATGCCAATGTTTTCATTTGGAGGCAGGAGTGTTTCTGTTGATACAGTAAGAAGATAAAATAAGACAGTTTTTTACCAAGTTATACAGTCTGAGAGTCTATTTGGCTCAGGGACAGAGATGCAGCTTAGGACCACAGGGGCACAGCCTAGACTCTGTGAGAAAAGAAGGGCCAATGCTTGTTAAATGACTACATGAGTGAGTGAGCGAGCACAGAGGGCCGAACCAGGAGTGTATGTGGTCTCTACTCGGGTTCTGAATGGATCCCAGAGGTTCTCTCTGTTAGGTGTTGACTGTGTGCTTGTTTCCCCATCGTCACTAGCCTTGTCTTGTCCAGTCCTCTGTCACCTCTGAGTGGACAGCCTCCTCACGGCTTCCTTGCTCCTACACTTGCCCTTCAGCACGTTCTGCTCATGGCTGCCAGTCATCTTCAGAGAACATGAGGTGGACAGACTGTGTCACACCCTGCCTAGGACCTTCACGGGGTGCTAACTGCCCTTGGCCATGATGTCTCAGGCCCACCACTGACCTCTTTTCTGTGACGCCAGCCTCTGTTTTAGCTGCTCAATGAGCCATCCTTCTCCTCTCCCCAGGTCTGGGCACTAGCAATTCCCTCTGCTCAGACTGCTTTGCCCCAGAGCTCTCTGTCTGGCTCCTTCTTTCAATTTGGGGCTCAACTCATTTTCACCCCTTCAGAGAGGCCTTCTCTGACCCTCTAATTAAAGCAGCTCGTCCCTAGTCTCCTCTCACGGTCAGTCCTCACAGAGCATCTGCCAGTGACCAGATGCTGTGCGACCAGCAGTGAACACAGTAGCAGAGCCCCTAAACCCCTCATTGCGTTTCCGGGTGCCCACTCGCATTCCTCATCGCAGGCCTGTGTGCCAGGTTCTATCTGTCTTTGCTCACCGATTACTCAACAAATCGGCATTTGTTCAAGAAAAGACTGGATGTCAGGTTGGCAGGAATGCGGAGCAGCGGGCACATGCCCTGCCTTGCACTTGGCTCCTGTGAAGCTGTCACTAAACTTAACCAAAGAGGTCTTCAAAGATATCTCGCTTTGTCCCCACTATCTCCTGCTAACTGTGCACTATTTCTACAACAGACAGACTGAGTGTTCTCCAAACTCCACCGCTGAAACCCTGGTCCTGAAGTGATGGTGTTGGGAGTGATTAGGTCACGAGAGTGGATCAAAGTCCTGTGCCTGCAGTGACGGTGTTGGGGTGATTAGGTCACAAGGGTGGAGTCCTCTGGTAGGATTAGTGTCCTTTGGAAAACTATGAGAATGAAATGTTTGCTGTTTGTGCCGTGGTATTCTGGAATAGTATCTCAAACTAAGATGCCCTCTTATGGCAATGTTGGCAATCAGGTAACACAGGAGAGGAGGGGTGACTGCCTCTTTGGGGTGAGGGATTTAGTGTCTGTTATCTAAAAGGATCCCCTGCCCACCAGCTCCATAGCCCCTCATTGCCATGCCAAGTCCCAGCACTATCCAGCTATAGGCTAGGCCTGTCCTACAGCTGGACCCAACAGCTTGCCTGGCACACACGTTCTCTCTCACATAGCCCAGCTGTCCCCTTTGCTTGGGAGACTTTAGCCAGTCTCACTCCTCCCTGGACTCACATTACTCTACCTCTAGCTACAACAAAGCTTCTGGCAGAAGGCCAGAGGCAGGTCTTTAGTGCAAACCATCCTGTGGTTCCTTCTGTTGACCCTACGGTCCCTCCAGGCCTTTCAAATATTACAGACAAAGTCAGCTGTAGCTTAGGACTGCCTGCCTGTTCCATAGAGGCAGCCTACGAAACTGACAGTCTCTGCAGATCTGAGCTGCAGATCAACCCAGGAGCCCTGAAACCTGACTCCAAATACAGCAGCAGACGCACTGCCAAAAGGAAGTGCGGCGGCGTTTGCTGAAGGCTTCCATTCTCCCAGCCTTTTTTTCTGAGGCCCCTGAGTTTAACTAGTTCTGCAGGAGGCCACAGAACAAAAGTGACCAATGCCTCTTATGACAGTAGTCTATCCTTCTAGGACAAGTAAGAATTCCCCAAACCCCAAGGTCATCAACAACGCAGGCTGAGACTAGGGAGAGCAGCTGACAGCTCCACCTCAAAAGGTTTGGGTACAAATCTTTTTGCACAAGTTATGGGGGTAAATTGCAAGATTACTCCAAATGTTAATGTAGATCCTGGGTCCCCTTCCTTGGGGGAATCTCTCCAGACTCCACTATTCCTAGTGTTCGAGTTAGACCTAGAGGAGGTGGCCAGAGAAATCAGAGGCTTGAGGAAGAACATCACCTTCTCCCTTCCCCACAATACATCCCCATCTCAAGGGCACTTACGGGCCTCTTCCTGGGGTCCCATCCCGGTCCAGATGGTGCCCCCAACTAGTGGCAGTGGCATGATATGGAGGGCTGATCCAGGCCAAGAGTTGCGGATGGTGGAAGGCAAGTGGGGCACAGTAGTCAAGACCTTACTCCAAATATCCATCAAAGACGTCGAGCTCCGAGTCGGCATCGTAGAGGCCAGAGCCGGGGTCAGAGAGTACGCCGAGGTCCACCAGAGCCTGGTTCAAGTCCTCGGGCAGGAAGACGAGGCCCACGTTGAGGACGATGTATTCCATGAGGAAGGCGTAGTAGAGGATCAGCACATTGACGAAGAACAGGCCCACGTAGAACATAGAGGGCAGCAGCGGTGGCTGCACGTAGGAGACCAGAGGGCCCAGAGCGTCCAGGTGGGCTGCGACCCGGGCGCCGGGCATGCAGGGGCCGGCGGTGGGGGCAGCTGCCGGGCGATCCCAGCGACCTCAGCCGCTGCGGCGCCCGGGCGGCCGGCGAGGGGGCAGCTCGGCCATCCAGGGGGCGCCCCGGGGCTCGGTGGCGACAGCGCTGGGCCCCGGGCGGCCTCCGAAGACGCGCCTTGACCCCCGAGATGCTCGGGGCCGGGTCACAGCGCCCCGGGATCGGGCCGCTCGCCCCTCAGGGCGCCCCCAGAAGTGGCCAGGGGCTCTCTCAGTGCGCCGCACTCGCGCACCCCCGCCGCAGCTCAGAGTCGAGGCGGGTCCCCGCTGTCGCCTCCCCAGCCTCTTCTCCAGCCGGGTCCGCGCCCCCGCAGGCTCTCAGCCCGTCGCTGCGGCCGCGGCGTTGCTATGCGGCTTTCCAGCACCGCCTATCCAGAGGCTCTGCGCTCATTGGCCAGTCGCATGCTCACCCGCATTCATTGGCTAGCTCAATGCTCCACGCTCATTGGCTCGAGCGGTCCGGGAGGTGCATCAGTCTCTAAATTGCTCACCTGAAGTTGATGCTCCCTACCCTAGGCACCTAGCGCTTAGATACTGTGCCTCACCTCTTTGGAACTCAGTTTACCCATTTTAAATGAAGCCAAGTAGAGAAGGGATGTCGGCAATTCCACTGAAAATCTTAGATATTTCCAAGGCGCTTTTATTTATTTATTTTTTTCTTTTCACGGTAGAGTAAGAAAAACCAGTGAATGCCTCTGAGAGCTGTCGGGAGATCTGCATTATTAGGGTTCCGTGACTCCCGAATGGAGAGCACCACAGGCAGGTTCAATCTTCCGCCCGCAAGGTTGCTTATTGTTTCTTTTTACTTTGTAGTCCATGTTAAAAAATACTAAGTTAAAAACTAATGCTAAAGTAATTGAAAACGTCTGTTCAGATTCCTCTGTCACAGACAACACCTGTGCTTCTGAAAGTGCCTTCCCTGGGAGTTTAAACAGCTGGAGATCAAAACCAGGGTCCTGTGTGTGCAAGACATAGGCAAGAGCTACGTCTTCAGTTCTTGAAAAAACAAACAAATGAGCAAACAAACAAAAGAGGCTCACTATGTAGCCCCTGGCTGGCCTGAAACTGGCTATAGACCAGGCTAGCCTGGAACTCACAGCGTTCCACCTGCCTCTGCCTCCCGAGTGCTGGGATTAAGGCCTCTGCCACAATGCCCAGCCTATCCCCAGCTCTTAATAAGTCTTTAGGTCACAGTTAGCTTCATAAGAGCTGGACAAGGCAATGCATTATGCATGAGGAAACCGGATTCCAGAGAAGTGGATCCTCAAAGCTGCTGAGCCTGGTTCATTTTCTTTGGGGGTCAGACCTGCTCTTGTTCTTTCATGACTTTTATTGCCTCTCTAACTCAATTACAGAGGAAACCATTAACCTGGCACTGGCCTCCATTTCTCTAATTCTTGGAAGCAATGCAAACCATCATTTATTCACTCTATCAATGTTTGTTAAAAACCCACTATGTGCCACATCTTGTTTGGCACTGGAGAGAACATTGGCCCCTGACTCAATTCCTTTCTTTGGACAGTTAATGAGCTACCACAGGAATTAAATAGCTATGAGCTACAGAAATGAGCAAATGAGTGGGTACTAAGCCACAAAGTCTTGCTTCCCACAGAGGTCCCCACTTTCAACATGAGAGGGAAATTCAAGTTTGTGTAAGCTCACATAGAAAGCATGGAGTTTCCTTTCTTAATGTGTTAGTTTGGGAAATGGCATGGATTTTGGATGAAGACCAGAGGAAATCTCTGAAAGTACATTGTGTTTAGCTTTGGTACATTGCTGTTTGCACCTTTCCAAAATGTTGTAAGACTGAAATGCAAAAGGAAAAGGGTTTTACGGATAAACAAAGAATGCTACTGATTTGTTTTGTTGACAGAAGCAAATAAGCACACCTGGGCTTGAATCATGCCTCTGCCACATGGTAAGTGCCTGGCTATTCCACAATTCACTTTCCTGGATTGTAAAATGAGGTTAATAAGAGCATCTACCTCATAGAGTTGTGAGCATTAAATAGTAAATCACTTAGGGTAGTGACATATAATATGCACCACCCAATGTCTTTATTTTTATTTAATTATTACTATTGTGATATTGAAGGTTGAACCCATAATGCACAAGCCACATTCCAATCCTTTACAAAATTGAAAGAGAATTAAGGCCTTCAAAATGACTTAGAAGTTAAAAGACACTTGTTGCCAAGTCTGAAAACCTGAGTTCAATTCCCAGAACCCAAATGGTGGAAGGCAAGAACCTACTTTTGAAAGTTGTACTCTGACTTTCACACACACACACACACACACACACACACACACACACACACACACACTAATAATAAATTTTTTTTTTTTTTTTAATTTAAGAAAACTAAACCTCGCCAAATCTCCAACTTACACCTCTTGATTCAGAATCTCTAGTAACTGGGGTTTCAGGGCACACTCTTCTTTTTCTAATTACGAAGAGTGTTTTCTCCGACTTTCAGCAAACTGTCCCCCAAAGCTCTGCCCACAAGTTTTCCGTTCCCGCCCCCCCTTCACCGCCCCCTCCCACTCCCTTCACCGTCCCCCCTCACCCCCCGACCCGTGTCCCGCCTCCTCACCTCCTCTTGCCCCGCCTCTTTTGGGTGGCCGCGCGAGTCATGCCGGCCCTTGTAGTCCATTCGCAGAGTCCTGTCGCCCGGTGCCTCACTCGAGAACTTCATTTCCCAGAGTTCCTCGCGACGGCGGCCGTAAAGCGCGGCGGTCGAACGGCCGGTTCCGGCTGAATGTCAGTGCGGGGCTGTGGGCCAGGGAGGAAGGTGCTTGGCGGTCTCTCCGCCGCCCCCGCCGCTGCCGGCTGAGCTTGAGATGTCGCCGCGGACGCCGGGCCGCTGGGCGGATCGGACATGAAAACCTGAGGCGGGCGACGGGGCTGGGCTGCGGACATGTTTGGCCGCTCGCGGAGCTGGGTGGGCGGGGGCCACGGCAAGTCCTCCCGCAACATCCACTCCTTGGACCACCTGAAGTGAGTGTGCGGGGCGCGCGGCGGGGAGGCCGCGGGGCCGGGCGCGGACGCCCAGACGCGGGCTTGGCTCGCTGGGTGCCGAGGTACGAGGTGGACAGGGTCGCCGCCGGAGGGTACTGTGCTGGTTATCCGCGAGGCTTTGGAGTCAGGGCACCTGGCTTCGAACCCTGACCCTGTCGCTCCTGGCCCTGTGACCTTGGACAAGTCGTGTGACTTTTCAGTCTCTAGACCCCCAACCTGAAAAGTAAGGGCATTGATGAGTTTTCGGTTTGTGGACTGGAGTTGTCCTGATGGGGGGAAGACGGTGGCCACTGAGCGTCCCGAGGTGGCACTTCTTCTTGGATGGATAGTTTAAAGGCCAGAGGCCCCAGAATCGGCCAGATCTGGGTTCGAATTTAGCAGTATGCATTTAAGCTTCAGTTTCCTTAGCTGTAAAACGAATAGAGTGACAGTACTACTTTCTGTGGTTATTTTTAGGATTGGGTGGATAAGAGAATGAACAAAACGCTCAGAACATATACAAGTGCTCTAAAAAGAACAGTGATTAAAAGAACGAAATATTTTCAGAAGGAAATCTAGAGGGATAGTCAGCAGTAGCACTTAGGGAGAGGACAGGTGGCTGACAGAGTCCTGGGGATACAGGAACATACGCAGAAGAGGCTGGCTTTGGAGTTAGACCTGTGTTCAGATTCTGACTCGGCCACTTAATGACTGTGGCCTTGGTCATATTTTATCTCTTTGCTTTTCCAATTTACCATTACCAGTTGGGAACTATGAACTGTACAAGGATTAGGTGATGCTGTGCATGCAAAGTGATTGACCCAGTATTGATACACAGCAGGTGGCTAATCGTGGTAGCCAAGGCTTCCCAGCCCACCCCAGTTCCTTTCTGTCTAGTGGTTTCATTCATCATACTCCTGCTGTCTTCTATGGTTCTGTGGTTTCTTTCTAGCTTTTGTTAAACTGATACTTCCAAGGCGTAAGAGGCTGCTTGGTTTCTTTGCAGTTGTATTTCCAGGATGTAGCACATGCCCAGTGCACAGTAAGAACTCAGTGGATACTTAAAGAGTGGAAAGGAAGAAGAAGAAAAAGAAATTGGGCAAGAGTTGCAGAATATTCAGGCAGAGCCTTGGGATTGGGGGGGGGGCGCAAATTGAGAGAGTGGTAGGAGATAGAGACCTTCGAGGAGGAGGAACTTCAGGGAGAGAACTGGAGGTGGGGTGCTAAAGGGGGGGGTAAGGAAACAGCTTCTTTTCAGAGGGGAGCCCACAGGGTTTTTAATGCTAAGTAAAGGGAGGGGATGGGAGGATGGTGAGGTAACAATAGAAAGGAAGGCAGGGGTCCCTAGAAAGGATTGATGAGCTAAAAATTAGATGGGGGCTTCTCATTTGATCCCAGGGCTATAGAATGGCTTCTGTCATAGAGCAAGCATTTAGTAAATGTTTATGGCTCTCCAAGTGTGGAGAGCAGGATGGTTTGGGGGTGGAGAGAGAAGCCAAGGAGAGGAAAGAGGTCGAGGGCAAAAGGGGGGTTGGTAGGGATGCAGAAATCTTAAAGGAAATGGCAGATGGCCCAGAAAGGGAGTGTGGTGTGGATGAGTGACTGAAGGATTTGAGGAATGTGTGGGTGGATATGGCTGTGAAGGGGAGGGTGCATCCTGAGGGGCTGGGCCTGCCCAAGCACCTGCAGCTGACTCTCCCTTAGCTCTGGCTGTAGCCACTTTAATTTCCCATTTATTGTGTTACTTTGTCTTGCTAAAGAGTTCCTGTTTTCTTTTATGGTTTCCATTATATAGACACGAGGGCTAAGATTCAGGAAGCTTAGGTCACCTGTCCCAAGGTGGAACAGCTGAAGACTGTCAGTCAGATCTTGATTCTAGTTTCCTTGTTATACTGTCTTTCTGGATAAAACTCTCAGTTTGAGGACACCTTTGACTGGGCTGCATGTCATAGTCAATGGGCGTCTTTGCTGTCCAACCAGTGCACATCTGGGAATGTAAGGGGCCTCAGGTTCCTTCCCAATATCCCAGGAACTTCTCAGGTTCATTGTGAAGGTCACTGGGAAAAGATCTTGCCTGCCTTAGGTCAGGCTGATCTGTTTAATTGCCATCACAGGCTCAGGGAACTGAGAATTGATTGGCACGGAGCTTCCAAGGTGACTTGCAAAAGGGTACCACAGACAGCTCGTGCCTACCCCAGTGCTTGTGCCGCCCTTGGTCTGCCTGTGGTAGTAAGACTCTTGGGTACAGAGCAGCTAGTTCCCTGGGGGAGTCTGCTGGCTGCCCCTGGAAGGCCACAGTGGAGTCAGGATTCTACAGTGTGGCAAATGCAGGAACTGCAGCAGGCCCAGAGGTCTGTAGAATCTCTTCTTAGAATCTTTCTGGAGGAGGAAACACTAGCTCAGAGTCCCCCAAATGGGAAAGAATCATCGTATGGCACAGCCACATTGTGGGCACCATAGTCAGGTTTGTGGCAGATCTGGCTGGGATTGGTGGCTATAGGAAGCAAGGCTGTGAGTAGGAAGAGGCTTTCTGACATGTAGGGTGATGAACACTAAAAGTTTGTCCTGCACTGGGAGATATTAGGGGGCGTTTCCCAGGACATAGGACTTTCAGTGCTAAAACCAGGAAAGATTTGAGGAATCCATCACAAATCACCGTCCTAGTTATAAGTGATAGTCCCAAATCCTTTAAAACAAAGCCAAACCAAAACAACAACAACAAAACAAAAACAAAAAAAACTGTGGTCCCTCCATAGTCCAGGTTGGTCTAGAATTCATGATCCTCCTTCCTTAGTCTTTAGATAGGGATTCTAGGCATGCACCACTGAGCCTGGACTCCAGTACATTCTTCCCCTGATCTAGCACAGTCTTGGTGGAATGAGATGTTAAGATTTTGAGAAAATTGAGAATAGAGTTCTTTAGTTGTTGGTTTTTATATTTCTTTCTTCAGGGGCACAGAGGTGTAAGGGGAAAGAGACAAGGTCTTGCTCTGGCTGTCCTCAAACTCTTGCTCCTAAGTGCTGGGATTACAGACATCACCATGACATACATGCCCAACCTCTGCTTTAAAAATACTCTTTTCAGCCAGGTGGTGGTGGCACATGTCTTTAATCTCAGCATGTGGGAGGCAGAGGCAGGCAAATCTCTGTGAGTTCGAGGACAGCATGGTCTACAGAGTGAGTTCCAGGAAAGCCGGGGCTGTTACACAGAGGAACTCTGTCTTGAAAAACCAAAAAAAGAAAAAAGAAAAGAAAAACAATACTCTTTCCGTCACAGCATGCCCATCTTACAAACTGGAAAGAAACTTTGATATGTCACGGGGTTTTACTTGTGCTAATAGTGAAAAACTGTACCTGAGCTATTTACCTACCAAGTTGGGTCAGTCATTTAGTGGAGGGCAGATGGAATAGTCAGGTAGTTATTCCAGACACCTCATTGGCAGTTTATTGCCCAGACTAGTGACAAGACTGTGACATTAACTGACACATGTTTATCACTAAGCAAAACCTCTACTGATGGAGTCCTTTGACTACTACTGACATGTTATTTGGAAAGGGGGACTGTGAGCCCACAAACTGATAAAACCTTGGTGGTTCTATCATGGCCTTCATTCTAGTCACTGTGTGGTGTCAAGAGTCTTGGTCCAAGTGATGGATCCTGCTAAATTGCCTTAAGTGCTAGTGGAGTCAATTGGCTCTTGTTACTGAGTGGTATGTTCTAGCTAGACCATGGCAGAGGGCAGGTGCTTAGACCCAGCTGTCAGGAGTCTGCCTCCTTCCTCCTGCTCTCATTCTCAGCAGGTTCTGGGCACTGTTGTGTCTGTCAGCTGAGCCATCCGAATGGGAACAGAGTTCCCTCTCTTTTCTAAGATTTTTGTCAGTTTTATACATGATCCCAATCCTATTCATCCCCCAGGAAGAGCTTCTTTTCTCAATGTTGTCAGAAGTCCCGAATGTCCCTTTCAGTCTAGGGCACATGCCATCTTTGAGCTAAGGCTAAGGGTGCTTGTTGTTCTCATTGTTCAAGCCCCGCTCACTTACTTGCCTTGCCTGCTCACTCACTCCCTGGGTCCTTGGATGAAACCAGCTCTACTCTTGCTAGAGCGCAGAGAATGAGAAAGCATCTCTCACCCAAAGAATGGGAGCTGTGCAGCTGGCCCCAGCCTGGGATACTCACCTTTGGCTGAGACAGCACTGAGAACTTGGGGATCTCAGGTGCCAGGTCAGCCAGGTGTCCTATGTGAAGGCTAAATTCTTATAGACCTCCAAGTCCTTTAGACTCTGTCCCTGTGCGTTGAGCAGACCCCACCAAATGCAGCCCAGCAGGACCTGAAAAATGAGTAGTTACCTCCAGGTAGTGGGGTGGCAGGGATGGGTAGGAGGGGAGGGAATATCTCAGACTCAGGAAACTGCCTTGAGAAAGTCTCCTGAAAGGTTGGGTGAGTAGCTTGTGCTGGCAGAGAGCCAATTGTTCAGTAAGGTCTAGGAACCTAGGCACCAGGGCTAGATCCCAGTGAGCCTTAAGAACCACGCTAGGGAATTGAGACTTTATGCTGCAAACAGTAAGGGTTCTTTATTATCAAGGAAGGTGAAGAATTGGAGAGGGTGAAGGAGGGCCAGCCGCTCAAGACAGCAGCCATACCCTGGTGGGTTACTGTGGCACCTGCTGGAATCCGAGGTTCTTACCATGATGGCCCTTCTCTCACTAAGCAGCACATATCCACGTGCCGTCTGTCTGTACCTCTGCTCTCTTCACTTCAGCTCCCCCCTCCTTTTTTTCCTGCCCATTCAAATCCCTAGCTCTAGCCTTAAGTTATGGCTGCTTTGATACAGATTGCCCCAGTGGCTTTAACCAGTGAGAGTCTCATGCTATTATGTCCTCTCTGTTCCTTCAGGGAGTGGATTAGTTACCAGGTCTTGTAGCTTCTCCAAGCTTCATCCTCATTTTGAGTTAGATCCCCAGGGAGTTGGCCAGGGTTCCATAGGCTTGTCATTTTGCCC